ACTTACGTACTAGTACTATACTATATAGTAGTAGTAGTACGTACACACACACACACACACACACACACACACACACACACACACACACACACACACACACACACACACACACACACCGGGACACACTTACTGTGGTATTGGGGTTAGTGTAAAACCGTGTGTGTTCTTATAATAAATAAAGTTGGGTTTTGTTTCGTTTTCAATAGACTTTATAACGCGCTTGTATTTCCCATATAGGCTTACTGATTTCCAGAAGTGACTGTTATTGTAATATCATCCCGTTTAACGCTCATGGTGTCACAATGAAATTATGTTTGAATTTAATGAATCATCATTAGAGGTAGTGTTATGTTCACGCTTTCATGTTGTGACTCGTATGCATCAAATAGGCTACATTATTACCCTTGTTAAAAAATAGGTAGGCCTATCAGTCACATCACGGCTTTGGTCTGTGGAGATTAAAAAAGGGTTTTAGCCTCTTCGAAAACCTGCCATCGAAAATGAAAGTGTTCCCGATTATGCTTATAAAACACTGCTGTTTGATTCAGTGTCATTACACAAATGACGTTATTTGTTCCAATAACAATGATTTAAAACACGTTAATAAAACGTGCTCCCTTTTGGCTCCTCCGTGGAGGACTACTGCAAATATTACTTTACATTACATTACATTGCATTTAGCTGACGCTTTTATCCAAAGCGACTTACAATAAGTAGGCCTAAGTAATATTACTTCTTGTTTGACATTTAATTATTTACAAAGCCTAATGACAAAAAGTGAATATATGTTTGGGGAACATCCCAAAGCCTGCAGAAGCCTAGTGACTTTGTTGTTCTGTTTTACGAGTATTGTCACTAGCTAATTATTGTCATTATAGGCCTCTCAACATTATTGTGCCGTTGATTCGATTTGTTTGCGGAACAGTCCATTATTATCTGGAGGGGGATACCAGACTCACTTTAAAAAACGCTCGGTTTTGTGAGATTTTCAGTCAAACTCCGTGTAAGACTATCATCGACTACTTAATTATGTGTCCCCGCTTATCAATTCGGCAGCTGAAATCGTTATTCCTCTATTTGTTTTAAAAGTTCAAAGAAACACCCTTTTGGAAGTTAGGAGGCCTAGTCGTGGTGGCGGACTGGGACTAAAAATCAGCCCGGGAAACTCGACCCGGCCGGCCCAACTCGGTAACGCTAGTCAATTATCAGGGGGGGGTGGGCGGTCGGTCCGAATTGTCCGACCGGCCCACCTCGGTACCGGTCCACCGGGAGGTTTTTCCCAACGGCCCTGTAGGCCTATATATTCGTTTGTTTTATTCTCATTTCATTCATTTCAATATCGTATTCATATGATATGTTTATCTAATAGCAATGATGGGCTAATTTACATGCCATTGCGCTAACCAAAATGTGCTTAAATCCCCAAAACATGAAACTATATTTCTATAGTTATTGTCTAAACGTGCTCACACACACACACACACACACACACACACACACACACACACACACACACACACACACACACACACACACAGGGGCGCCGTAAGGGGGTGAAAAGTTAGAACGATTCTAAGGGCCCGTGACAGGGGCCCAAACCATTTTAGAACATTAAGAAAAAAATGTTTAAGTGACCAATGTGATATCTTTTCATGGGGCCCAAAATCCCTGGCGGCACCCCTGCACACACACACACACACACACACACACACACACACACACACACACACACACACACACAGTATCTGCTGCCCCTTCGGGCTACAACTGGGTAGGCCTTTAAACGGGCTATAGCTGTTAATTCAGAAACCATATACACTACTAATGCTGAATCTTTATTATAGCCTACTTCGGATTTAGACCCACATTCAGTAGGCTATAAGCCTCATCACCACACCGTTTTACCGTTTCAATTATGGAGTGACAGATCTAAACGAAATCTCGGCATGGAATGTAGCTTTTAAATTAAGGACCAATATCCACCATCAACATGCTTCTATCGGCCGCTCTCTAACACCTTAAACCGTTATAAAATATGACTTTATATAGGCTAGCTATACTATACAGCCTTTTGGGGGGGCACATTTGTTGATGTGATGGAGAAAAAAATACATTTTCAAAAAAACATATGCAAGGCTTCTATTTCTCATTTCAGAATAATACCACAGCTTGATAAAGCCTGCTATTTTTTAGCATACAAAATAAAAATATAGGCCTATAGCTACGTGTAAAATATATGTTTTAAAATGATGCGTTTTTTAACCCTCCTGTCAAAACACAATATCTTTATAAAAGTAGTTAATCGGACAGATTTAACCCGAACACGACGGGAGGGTTAAAAAACAGATTTGGATTTGTGGACAGGAAGTTATTTTATTGCCAGACATCAAAGCAGACCACCACTCACTTGAGCTCAAATATTCCTCGATGTATTTGGCCGCCTCCATGTGATTTTGCTTGTGCGCCATGCTCCCCGGCGTTCCCTCCGCGTTGCGTGCCCGGGGGTCTGCGGTGAGACCGATCAGCAGCCGGATAACCTCCAGGTTTCCCTCCATGGCGGCCAGGTGCAGCGGAAGGTTGCCCCTCTCATCAAACAGGTTTACATCTGAGCCGTATTGGACGAGCTTCTCCACAGAACCGATGTAACCGGCGCGCGCTGCGTCGTGCAGCGGGGTGAGCCCCAGGACAGGGTCCCGGATATTGAAGTCTGCCCCCGCGAGGAGAAGCGCCTCCACCACATCGGGACAGGCCCAATTCACCACCTGCAGACAAACAGATGAGAGACTCACAATAATGAATTATCCATTAAATTAACCAGTGGTGTGAAGTAGCCTACATTAGGTAGGCTATTGTAGCCTACTTCAATGTTGGAGTACTTGCACTTTACTTAGCCAAAGTATTTTGTATCATAGGAGGGAAGTGACTTTACATTTACTCAAGTAATGTTGGCCAACTAAAGTACAAGTTTGAGAGAGTATTTCAATGTTTTGTTACTTACTATAGCCTACTAAAATTGAGGTATTACTTTACTTGAGTATTTCCATCTCATGTTTCTTTATACTTCTGTACTCCACTATAGTTCAGAGGTAAATGGTGTACTTTTACTCCACTACATGTATTTAATACCTTTAGGTATACTTTACTGATGTGGATGAATGATGTGAAATATAATCAAGTGTTAAATCAGACTTTAGTTCCACCTGGAGTAAATCCACAAGCTAAAGTTGCAGCTAGTTTGAATGACTTTGCATACTGCAGGTATGCAAAGCTTTGAGAACACTTTAATGATAGCGACAGCAGGAAACAAACGTCGCTGAGAGGATGAGGCCGGCTGTTTGATGTTGTAGGCCCTATGGCACGCTAAAAAAAGAGTAGGCCTACTTGCTGAGATCAAAACTCTGTTGAATTGTAATGTAGTTTAATGAAAAATACGCGGTGATCAGACATAGACATTGTAATAATAATGATCAAAGCAATCATAAATCTTGCGGTCAAGATATATACAACGGCCCTATATGTCAACTCCAACAATTGGCCTAGCAACGGCTTAACACCCCCATTGTTTTGTTATGAAAATGTATATTTATACACA